GTAGAGAGAGAGAGAGAGAGAGAGAGAGAGAGAGAGAAAATAGTACTAATGATAGTAATAATAATATCAACTCAGAATCACAAACGTTCCACATCGATGCATTTTAGAGAAATTGATGCTTGGAATACGATGATTTGGGGGTGTTTACGTTGCCAAAATCCTGAAAGTTCCATTGGGTATTTTAGTAAATTGGTATTATCCAATGCCAAGCCAGATTCAATAACTCTATCAGTCATAATTTCAGCCTGCCATGATTTAGGGAACCCAAACATTGGAAAGTCTATTCATTGTTGGGGATTCAAAAGAGGGTTTGGGAATGCTCATATTTCTCTGTGTAATTCACTCATTTCATTTTACTCGAAAATCAATGATATTGAATATGCTTGTGAGGTCTTTGAAGGACTGGTTATTAGGGACTTGGTCTCTTGGAATTCAATAATCAATGCTTTCATAGAGAATGAAAGACTTTCAAAAGCTTTTGGACTTTTAGACGAGATGGAATTAGATGGTTTCAAGCCTAATTCGGTTATTGTGGTGACTCTAATTTCAGCTTTCTCAAAATCAAAACTGTTGGAGCATGGCCAGTTTATACATGGATTTGTGACTCGAAAAAAATTCCATTAGGTATTTTAGAAAAATGGTATTATCCAATAGCATGTCAGATTCAATAACTCTATCAGTCATAATTTCAGCCTACATGATTTAGGGAACCCAAACATTGGAAAGTTTGTTCATTGTTGGGGATTCAGAAGAGGGTTTGGGAATGCTCATATTTCACAGTGTAATTCGCTTATTTCATTTTACTCGCAAATCAATGATATTGAATATGCTTGTAAGGTCTTTGAAGGACTGGTTATTAGGGACTTGGTCTCTTGGAATTCAATGATCAATGCTTTCATAGAGAATGAAAGACTTTCAAAAGCTTTTGGCCTTTTGGAGGAGATGGAATTAGATAGTTTCAAGCCTGATTCAGTTATTGTGGTGACTCTAATTTCAGCTTGCTCAAAATCAAACTGTTGGACCATGGCCAGTTTATACATGGATTTGTGATTCGAAGAGAATTGGGTTTGGATTTGACTGTGATTAATAGTTTGATAGGCATGTACACAAAATGTTTTGATATAAGATCAGCAAGGTTGCTTCTTGGAAAGATGGATGAGAGAGATTTGATCACATGGAACACCATGATTGCGGGGTATTCAGATATTGGCTTTTCAAGAGATACTGTGATTCTTTTTCGAGATTTACTGAATTCTAGTTAGAGATGCAACCTAGCTACTCTAATAGTTGTTCTTTTTTCTTGTGACTATTTAGAGTCACTTGCATTTGGGAGATTAATCCACTCTTGAGAAATCAAATCGAGTTTTTCGTAAATTGTAGCTACCCAAAATGCCACCGTCTTCATGTACATAAACTGTGGAGATTTAGAATCTGGGTTATCAATGTTTGAGGATATTTTTGTGCGAGATGTGGTTTCACAAAACACGGTTATAGTTAGATGTGCACAAACTGGATTTTGCAAAGAAGCCTTGGAGACCTTTGACCAAATGCTTCTTATACCTATAAATCCTGACCCTATAACCCTTGTGAGTTTTTCTAGTGCTTGTGCGAGCTCAAACTTCTAAACCGAGGCATATGGGTTCATGTATATGTACTCAAAACTAGACTGGAATTCAATCTCCCTCTAATCAATGCATTACTATCTATGTACTACAAATGCAAGGATATCAAAAGTTCAAAGCTTACATTTGGTAGTATCCCTAATCAAAGAAATCTATGCTCATGGACTTCAATGATCTCTGGTTATGTACATAACAAACAACCCCATTAAGCCAGAGAACTCTTTTATCAAACACAGGTTTCGAGCCAAATGAGATGACCCTAGTTCTCTCCTTGCTCATGGAACATTTTCCGAATTGCAAATAATATTTGCAATAAAAAATGGAACAAAATCATAGAAGAAACACACTGATTTTGTATAGGCTTGCATGCAAGTTTTGTTGCTACCTAGAGGCCATGAATGGAGTGTGTCAGAGAAGAGAAGCTTGTTGCAAACTCAAGTTATGAGATATGGTAAAAAGAGAAAAAAAGAATAATAGAAACATGGTATTGTGACTATCCTATGATCACTGTAGGGCTCTTATAGAGTTAAGAGGCACGTCCCTGTACTCAACTCACTAAAAGGCATAATAGAGAATCAATCATTGCTAGAATACTTTGATAACTTGCCTGTTATTGAGAACCCGACCCGAAGCGACATCAAATCATAGAACTCATTGTGAATGTTCCAAAGCAAAAAGCAAAAAACTTGTGTTAAAATGGTACTTCTAAATTTTCTAAAAAAAAAACAAAAAACAAGCAATCGATCTGCAAAAGAAAAACAAAAAAACCACTTCAAAATTTCGCGCTACAATCACTTCAGGACTATATCAAAAATGAAAAAAAACAAAAAACAAAAGAGAAAGGAACTAAAACCACCGATTTGACCCAATGAATGATAAGTAAAAAATCACAAAAATCAAACCAAAATTAAAAAAATAATAATATAATAAAAAAAATCAATTTCTATCAACAAGTAGAAAGCACAAAAGAATGAGCATTATTCACAAATTTCATTTTTTGGATATAATTACAAACTACATCTTTGTTTTAGACATCAAAGAACAATATTGGTGTTTATTGGTGATAAAGATACGATTTAAACTATGATAAACTGTAATCACTTAAATGTTTTTTAACCAAACCCAAAATTTCCTATCCCATATATAGTTTTGTCTTCCATTTTCATTTTGTCACTGTGATTTATGCTCCTTCTTTTGGTGATTTATTTTGAAAAAACGTAGGGTTTTATTTGAATATATGATTTTGGGATCTACCAAAAAAAATTGGGTTGGTTTTTGGAAAAGAAAATTGGGTTTTATTCTTGATTTAGGGTTGGAGTTTATTCAGAAATTGTGGGTTCGATTTAAGCAAAAAAGAAAAAAAACATAAATAAGGATAAGATTTGAGGTGCACTCACCTGAATTGATGCGAAAGAACTTTTCGTGGCGGAGCTCCAACTTCTGTGGCTGCCAGGAAGGTCAAGAGGGGTTTGGTGTCGTCTTTGACAGTCAGGAAGATTGAGAGAGTTTCGGGGGTGCCTTTGGCAGTAGGAGAGAAGAAGGGTGTATGTGGCAAGAGAGAGCAAGCAGAAGAGAGGGGTACGGGTTCGTCTGTGGCAGAGAAGAGAGATAGCGAAAGAGAGGGGTATGAGTTGAAATAAATTTGGGTTTGAAGCTTCTGGACCAATATTTTTTGCTCTCAAGTGGGGGTTTTGTTCGATCACCGCCCTACATTTCATTAAATTGAAATAGGCGATGGATAATAGAGAGGTGAAATCTATTAGTTATGTGGCCTTTCAAAGCCTTAAAGCCAATAATATTACGCTCAATGAGAGTTAGAGAGAGTTTTGAGAGTGTGAACTCTCGAGGAGGTGTGAGGGACACCTTGCAATCAGGACTATATTGATTAGAATGCCTCACAGTTGATATGATTAGCCAGGGCTTAGAGAATCCAATCGAGAATAATAGAACCCAAGTATTTAAAAGAGTATTGACCCTGTATGGAATGGTCGGCTCATGGGACATGAGCCTATATATTGACACAAGATCGTTCCATTACATGTTCACCCACAGTCGTATGGGGAAGCCACTCTTCTATAGTATTATCCGACTTAGAAGAGCTAGTGCACATTTGTTTTGAGAGGACCCTGTATTTGAGTAGGAACATGTCCCACTGGGGTGTACCAGTAATCCATTTAACCCCCGATGATGGGAAGCTCTTGGTCAGCGATTTTGATGTGACCAATTATGTATCCCTGCCATAAACTCTGGAGCATAGGTCTACTGAGTCGGTTTGAGACACCGGTGGAATATCATTTTGGTTAGCCCAATAGAAGACTCTGACTAGTGTTATAAGCCTAGAGATATAATTTGACTTTAGCACAAATTAATCTAAAACTGATGAGAAAAGATTTTATATTGATGAGAAATTGTGTAATAATATTGAGAAATCATTTAGACATTTTTTTAGATTTTTGAAGAAGTTTTTAGATTTTTTTATACAATAAAAATATGATTTTCAAATTTGTTTGACGTAAATACCAAACAAGGACATTCTATGAGGATGCCACATGGATCCCAAATGGCCATAGGGATGCCACGTGGCACCCCACCTCCCCACTCATGGATGACATCATGCTGATGTCATATCCATGTGGGGACCTATTTGTCAGTAATTATTTTTTTGGTATTATGTTATAACATGTTATCTTGTTATTTAAAGTGTTATATATTGTTATGACTTAAGTTTGATTTAAGTCATATGTTTTTTTTGCTCATATGTGTCATTTTTTGCATGTATGAAGTCATAAGATCTTGATAATTAATTTAATTCATATTATTATCCATATATGATTTTGTAGCATGTGGGTATATCTTATGTGGTATCACTTTATGGGCTTGACCTAGGTGAAAATTTAGTATAGTTAAAATCATATTGGTGGTATCATAAGATATTTTATTCACATATGTGGATGTCCCATATTACTTATGTCTATGTCCTTATATTTTATTGATTCTCACAAATTATTCAAAAATCATGGGCATAAGTGTAAATATGAATTTGGACTTAATGGGAAATAAAATATGGAGCTAAGAGCTTCAAGGTAAAACCTAGGTTTTGAGGAGTGAAGAGCGTCAAAAGCTCATCAATTGTTCTTTATGATAAGATATGGATGAGTGGCTTGAATAAAAACCTCTCATGTGCCATTGATCTAAGGCATCAAGGATCAAGATCAAGTCCATCTTTATGATTTAAGTATAAAAGTAACTTATGGGATTAATTATAACCCCAACTTAAGTATTCACTTCAAAGAGAGAGAGAGCCCCCTTGACAAAAATGTGGCCACCCATGAAACTATCTTCTTCCTTGAACTTTCATTTTGAAACCCTTCCATGAAGTAGTCCCTCATTTATATGATCAAGCTTATACTATTGCTTTATTAAGGTATTGATTTTTTTTCGTATATTGTTAATTCTTACCTTATTTCCATTATCAAAGCTTGCTGTAACTCTTAATTTACAGTAGCTTTCTTCATTTTTTGGTCATGAAAACTTGATATTTGAAGAATCCCAAAGCAATAATGTAGTCGATACATATAGTATGTGTAGACTAGCTTGCTTACTCCATGATCTTGAGTAGTTTCAACTTGATTTTCTTGATTTTATTTTTCTGAAATTTTTACTAAGAATATACAACTGATGAGAGGTTTATTTCATCATATTTGAGCATAAGAAATACATTCTTGAGTTCTTTTTTTTTAATGTTGAAAAGTTTGTGTGATCCCTTATGGATCACATGGTGTAGTTTCATCATAACTTCCTTATTTTGTGTAGTATCTCTCTCTAACTTTGAGGGGCTATTTTAATACATGTATCTCTCATGATTTGATCATCATTAAGTGAAATAAAAGTGATCGTTTACTTCCCATTGGATTGATCTTCTTGAATTATTATTATCAGCCGTGCCTTAGACAATGAGACAAAATTAAGTCCTCAAAAGGCCCTTTCGTGGCCCGAGCACAAGGGGTTCGAACCATAGTTCCCCCATGTTTATTTACATGTTATTTTAATATATTTACAGTTATTAAATAGATTCATGATTGATTAAATTGAGTATGTTGTGTGTATATTGAAATTGTTCTTTAATCTTGCGATATGAACTTTAATGCTATCATTATTGTTTATGCGAATTGAAATCCTATCGAATTATTATGATCTAGTGTATAATGTGTATGAGACATTATAATATATGATAAGGATGAAGAATGAATATGAAATTATCATAATTTTGATATCATGAGGAATTGCGAGTGCGAGTCATACAATATGTTGTAGAGAAGTACAGTGTAAATATTTCAAAATTGTATTGAGCTAATTGTACTTTTGCGTAAGGGATTTGTAAGGGACATATTAGGGTTGAATTTTACTATTCAAATGTGTATAAACCATGTTTGTAGGCTGGAATATATGCATTATGGTTTTGTATTGAGATACTCATGCATTTAAACCCCTGAATTTTTATACAATGGAAAATTTTTAAAAGATTGCATTTCTAACCTATTGGTCTTATACCACCAACAAAATCATGGTTCCATATCGCCTATAGGCATTGGGAAGACTATATATATATATATATATATATATTGTCCAAATACTCTTTTCCGGAGGATGTGTACTAGCAGTAGTAATACCGTCCATATTGATATATGTTTTTTCTTCTAGAGTTTGAAGATTATCGAATGAAGGAATATTTATTTTATAGTGGAGACATATTTCTTTTAACCATATAAAAACTCCTTTTGCTTCCCTTTCTTTCTTGAGAAATTTGTTGTAATTTTTATGGAATAATTCTA